TCGTTTTACGGCAGAAGTTCTTTAAAGACACGTTCTTAGGGGCAGTTTGTGACGGGAAATCCGAAAAAAGAAGTATAAAAAAGTTTTGAGCTGAGTGGAAAAGACTAGACAGGTTTTTCTCAAAAAACACGATTTTTGAGATTTTCCACCCGATCTCAGTTTTTTGCATTTTTCTCTCCAAAAAAGTGATCAAATCGAACTAAAAAGGTGATATTCGTGATCAGGTCGATTCGGCGAATCAGAATATGTATAATAAAGCCAAAAATTAAAACCTGCTCGATCTTTGAATTAGCGGCGCCTTACACATAAACTTGCGTGTTTGAAACGTATGTGTGTCGATGTGATTTAATCATCTGCCTGCCAGCGCCCAGTGCACAGTACGGAAAATGGTAGATTAAATAGCCGTTAGCGTTTTTAATTCAGCAATATTCATTCCATTTTTCCTCAGATGATGAATATGGTGTTGGTTTCGGTTAACAAGCTTTGAATGTTTAAGAAAATGAACTTTTTTCTGACGTCGTATAACTCGGAGTGATAATGCCAAGGAAAAACTTATAATTCTTTAAAAACTTATCCGATAATTTACGAAATGCATAATAATGTGTGTTCTACAGAATGACATATAAAAGCCGGAAAGAAGCTGAACAAACTTTAATAGTTTTATAATCTTGCTTCATATGAACAAAAAAAAGTAAATTTCTAAAAATTAAAAATATATCAAAAATTTTAATACACGCCAACTTGACAAGATCAATATTTTTAATAGTCCATTCTGTTCAGAGTTTAATTTTCTGACGTACTGGGTGATTGTTTCGGAAGCGCATCACTGCTACGACGGGCACGTCAAAACTAAACGAAACATTCGGAAATAGTAGATCTCATGGAGTTACCGACAAAAATCATCTTGAAAATCTTTTAAAATAATTTCAACCAAATAGTTTTTTAAAATTTTATGTTTTACATAATGGTGATGGTGAGAGCCGTCAGCAAAATAGAAAATGATAAAAGTGTTCAGAAATGTTGCACAATGAGTATTATTGAAATTAGTGCTACAGAGAAATATGTTAAAAACATTATTCTCAGTACAGTATGACTGGTAAAGCATGATACTAGAGTTGATGATACCAGAGCAGCGGATGCCACCCGGTTTGGGCTGCAGCTTAAGAATAAAACTAACTATTTCAAGTGAGTGTGCAGTTTGTTTTCTTCTAAACAACTCATGTAGGAATATATAAATCAAGTAATTTTAATCAACGAAGATTACCAAATCAAATAAATGAGAAAACTGATTGTTTGCCCTTGCTAATAAGCTACTTTGAACTATTATCATTTTCAAAGGCAATGAATGATTGTTTAAGCCAATTCGAAAATGCTTATTTTATACTCAAATCAAGTGAACATTTGTTCACATAGATAAAAACTGATGGCAAATCGAATGAGCATACTTTTGAGATCTCTAAAGGATCTTCAAAGGGTCTCTGGAAAAGTTTTCCTTAAAAAATCACAATATAACGATATGTGTCAATAACATATTTGTTTCTTTGAGATAATACCATTTTCAGTTGAACTAGATTAGATTGGTATGCCTAAACTGAAGAAGCGAAGAAGTCAGTCAAGAAACGCAAAATCTGGTCGACATCCAAATAAAAATTTTGCATACAAGCGACTCAGCAAATGATGAATAGCGCATGGATATTGATGATAAAGAATTAACTTTCAATGAAAAATTTTTGCTAACCGATATTGGTGATCTCGCTAAAATGTGCAAGTTGAAATGTGACACAAAATATCTTAGCACTTTGCTTTACATGTCGTTACGTTTCTTCAACATTAAATGGGAAGATGTCGATGAGTATTTGAAGAGTATTGGTTTTATGATCGCAGAAACTTCTCATAAATGGGCAACAGTGTTTATGAAGGGAGATTATAAAGACTTTTCAAATGGTTTACGTGGTGGTAAACAAACGGATTCATTTTATGATACGTTTCTCGAGATTGAAGTAGATGCGAAAGCATTTGTCGTTCAAGCGTGTTCACAAAAGTCAGGAGAATTCAAGGCTTTGGATTTGGCTTAGTTCGTTGATGTGAAATATTATTAATGAACGGGAACCAAAAAACAAATTGACGATGATTTGATAGGATCGGAAAGGAGTTGTTGTCTGGATCTTCGCAGATGGGGGGCTAAATTCGAACCAAATTCACAACGGCCGTATTTTGAAGGACATAAAAGAGACTATGTGGTTAAACATCGTAATAAAGTTATTAATTATTTTCTGGCACATAAAGATTTTTATTACACAGTTACTGAAATACCTATGTGGAATATTCCCACCCCAAAACCTCATACAATACTTCTATGTAAGGGCAACAATCGAAACGTTTTAGATTTCTGTTATACTGTTTTTCGTGTTTATCTTTACTAGTTCACGATGAGTCAACCTTCAGAAGCGGTGAAGATAGCCCGAAACGCTGGTGTTTTAGAAAAAACACACCATTTTTTTCAAGGTCATGAGCGCAGCCATATGGTTTCTGATTTTCTTGTTCAACATCCTGATGGTATATAATATCTACTACACCTCACTGATGATAAATTCCTCTAAATTTGGCATCTGACAGTAGATGTGAACCGATTGTGGTATGTCTACTTATTCCGCTAAGTTCTCCGTTGGCTATTTCTCTTCTTCACGGAAAACGCTTTTCTTCCACTCACAATGCACAATATTAAAGCATTTCTTAATACACCATCTATCCTAGATGTTTCTTGATAAATGTTGAGGTTCTGTTTCAATCAATTTACTATTTAAATAGGCCTCGTACAATATAAATTCAATTGGTATCAATTGAATATTGATTAGAATTCTCATTTGTCTGACTGTGATCGTAAGGAGGTGCACATTCACTTGAATTTGAATTATTATTAGAATTTACAATTCATTCCTATCTAGTAGATTTAATTTAATGTCTGAAAGAAAAACGTTTTTTTTTCGAATTAAATTCTTATGACTAAAATGATTGAG